TGTTGGACACACACATTTGAACACCAGAAGAGTTTCTTTGCCTTTCCTGGAAATATGTAGCCCACTACAGTTTCAGGATCTACCGAGGCAAATTCTTAACAAATTCCTTAACTTTCAGCTTGTCTTCCATATAAAATATAAGTCCCTCTCAGGATCAAACAAATTACATTAAGCTTTGTCTGCACCACAGTTTCATTCTACAAGACCATGCATCACACCCACTCCAAGCTCATGTCAGTCCAGGTCTCTTTGCTAGGACTTGGACGGCCCTGGGTTTACTTTGGTGGTCATGTCAGAGCTCTTGTGCAGATGAAGAAAAAATGACCATCAAGGGTGGAGACGGGCATCAACACCCCTAAGAAATCAGAGAACAGGAGAAGCTGAGGTCTTATTCTTACGTGAAGCTGGTTTTATCACTCTCAGTATAAACAACTGGTTGCTGCCCAAATTACTAATGGGATTATCTGCCATTCTGCCATTTCAATTCAACACTTTTTAGTTTTAGAGGGTTTTTTCCAATCTTAAAGATGGACTTAAAAAATGCAGTTTGTCTTAGGACAGACCACAGCTTCATTAAATTATAATTCAATATTTAAGACCCAAAAAGTTCTGATACTGAGATAAGTAGGTCAAGAAACAAATTGTGCTTCCCATTTTTTCCCAGTTGTGGTCAAACTTAGGCCACCATTCATTGTGAGAACTTGGCTGAATTGCTTAACTACACCAAGCTCAATCTGGCCTTCTTTCAAAACTGGAGATTTCAATCTCTTTCCAATGTCACAGGATGATAAAATCTGTTCACTGTATGCATACAGAGCACTAAAGGTAATTTCAGAAAACATAAAATGTGATATTTATCTTAGTCTTTGAAAATCATGTGCACAACGAACATGGTAGGAGCATAGTGACCATCTTAGTGCCATAAAAAAATAAAGTGAAAGGCAATGATTACATTTAGAGCAGAAGAGATGAACGTGATGAAGAAAATGTTGGAGAAGGTGTTCTTCATGTGGCATTTTAATTAAATATTTGAATTTCATGAGTTAATCAATGAATATATCCTTATAAGCATAAGATAGATTAAACAATGCAGCATAGTTCATACACTTAGAGCCAGGCAGTCTTGGGGTCAAATTTCAGCACAAATCTGCTGGCCATGTGACCTTGGGCAGGTCTTTATTCTGTGACTCAGTTTCTTCACCTGTCGAATGGCAACTAAATTAGCTTTTGGCAGGTCATAGGTGCCCCACAAATAGTAGTAACACCCCAAAGGATAAAAAGTGTTGATCTTCTGAGAGTGGCTGGGAGGTAGCCATGGCAGGATAGAGGGGGAAGCAAAGGGTCTCAAATGTAGTCACTCGGCAGATCCTTTCCTCATCATCCTTTATTCAATTTCTCACCAAGCATTTATTAAAACCTACTGTGTGATAGGAACCATGCTAAAATACAAGTGCTTGTTTTTAATTAAGGGAGCACCATGTATACACAGATAATAGCAGTGCAATGAGTTAAGTGCCAGAAAGAGGGAGTCGGGCTGCCCCTCAGAAGAAGTGGCATGAGAGCTGAGCTGTGACTACTGGACAGGAGTTGGTCAGGGCATCACAGACATGAATTACATTCCAAAGGATAGGGAATGGCCAGTGCTAAGGAGTGGCTGCAGAAAGAGCATGGAGACTGGCATGGACTTACTCACATTTGTAAGTTCTGGACTGAGTGCATTGTCTTGTGCACAATGCATGCTTGGTAATGCATGTGATCACGAAGAGGCAGGAAAGGAAAGCTGTTCCAGATGTGGGAGTAAGGTGAAAGAGGCAAGAAGGACTAAAAAGACCGAGATGAATATAATGAGGAGCAGAAGAATGAGCTGAGAGAATAAGATCGACTGTGCTCACCCACAGATGGTGGTGGTGTGGAGGAAACACTAGTTGTGGAACCCAGACACTTGCCCCAGGATCCTCATTTAACCATTGGCCATTAACATGGTCTTCAGTAAGTCATCTCCACATCTCTCAATTCCAGCTTCCTCAGCAACAAAGTCAGGGATCTGAACCCACTGAGCTCTGAGATCTCTTCCAGTTCTATTCCATTTAAAAACACCTGTTAACTTTCTACTCAGTGCTGGGCACTATACAATCCATTGGGGAGCCAAAGAGTAATTCGACATTATGCTGGTTTTTCTCCATTTGTTACTCCCTCATTGCCACATCCATCCTGTCCTTTTCCTGCTGCACCCTGTACTGCATGAGTACGACTCCCACTGTACCGCCAGGCACCCTTACCTCTGGTTGTCTGTTACTCTCACACAATGGGAGCCCTTGTGGGAGGTTGGAAATGGCAAGAAAAAGGGTGGCGTATTTCTCCTCCTGCTCCCTCCTTACTTCATCTCTGAGGGGTGACTGTGATCACTTTTCTTCACTAGTATAGGTCCTGCCTGGCAGCCCATCTTCCATGGCTCCAGCCTTCTCTGAGAGTCAGAAAAGCTATTTCTCCCCTTGCCTCTCTAGGCCCAGATAAGCCAATGGCTTCTCAGGTTTGCTAGTGCCTGAGCACCTCAAATTTCTTTAAACCTGCTTTCAATTGTTCTGCATAGTCTCTTCACCACGATTTCTTCAGTTAAACCATGTGAGTGAAATTCTATTTGCAGTGAGCCCACAAAGCTTAGAGTGCAATTGAGGAGATGGATTATCAATATATCATCTGTCCCATATAAAGCACCATGGGAAAACCAAGGAGGGAGCAGGGCTGCAAAGCTGAAGAAGAGAAGCTCACAGCATGTGTCCATGGAGTCAGTGTCCCGGGGTTGGGATGCAGGATCTAACCATGGACACAGACAAGGAAGGATGGACTGGAGGGATTTTATCGTTCATGTCGGTACTACTATTATTGTATATTAAGAACACACTTCCAGATGTACAACCCAAAGACAAGTAAAATCTGTCATACTGGAATAAACAGCAGCACCGAGCATTTGAACAATTTGACTTTTGCTGTTTTACATCAGATGACAATTTTCAGGGGATCAGCTGAGTGTGCAAATTCAGAAACTTCAGATACATGCAAGCTCTGTACAAAAAGGCAAATTCTTTGTCTGGAGTGAACAGTTCGCCGGGAAACAAAGATTAACCACACTAACAACTTGTATACCAAATTCAGTGCAATTCTTCCTTAACCCTTTGATACTTAACACCATGATTCCCCAGGCTGGGGCAGTTCCCATCTTTCTTCACTGCCACTTCTGTTGTCAGAGAGAAGACAGTAGTTTCCCTTGTGGTCTTCAAGGGACAGATGTTCCACCGCTCTGCCGTTGATATCACCAAGTTATGAGCAGAGTAGGAAGATGGACATTGCATCACAGAGCCAGCTGTAGCAAGCTAGCATGCAAGGAGAGATGGCAGTGTGGAAATGAGGCCTCTGTTCTGCGTCATGTTAGAGAGATCAGCTCCAAGACCTTGAGGCCCTGTGACCTTTTCTCACTAGGACAGAATACAGAACCTTCTCAGAAAGCCATGCACTTAAGTGAAATCATAGGTCAAGAAAGAATCAAGACATTGTCTAAGAGAAATGCATTTTATCAAAACCCCCTGATTTTAGATCTTGGGCAGGTTATTTAAACACTCTGAGCCTCAGTTTCTGCATCCGTAAACCCGTCAGTAATACTTCATGTGCTCATTGAGAGGATTAAAGGAAATCATGGAAGCAAAGAAGTCTAGGGTGAGGGTGTACCATGGAATTGGCCTGCAATACGGCGGCTGTTGTATTGCTGGTATTACTCCAATGTACTGGCCTCAGGCAATCTCTTAGACGGCTAGTTGAGGCTACACCCAAGACATTTGGGATGGTCCAACATGATCCTCATCATTTTCACTCCAGAGAAAATTTGGGTAGCCTCGCGCTTCAGAGGGTTTCAAGGAGTATTTTGAGGGGGCTACAGAGTTGCAACTGCCCCCAAAACACCTCCCACCCAGCGGGGCAAGTCCATGGGCTCCCCTCTCATCTAGCTTGAAATTTTCATCATTAGAGTCACTCTGTGGGGCTAGGACAAATGGGAACAGTAAGCAGGTATCTTTCACTTTTTCTATTAGCTAGCTATCTCTTTTTCTCTGTCTGTCTGTGTCTCTCTACTTGACTCTCTCTCTCTCTCTCTCTCTCTCTCTCTCTCTCGCACGCGTGCATGCATGCACACACACACACACACACACACACACACACACACACACACACACACCATCTACCTACCTGTTTACTTGTTTGTACCAGAAACAACCAAACAGTACTGACTGGACCATAAATTTCACTTTTTCCAGCTGTTTTTGTGCCTTTGATTCTATTGCCAACCCTTGCACACTCACTTGTTCTCAGTACCTTACTCAGCACCCACCTCACGGTTAGTAGACTACCACAGTTCTTATATCTTTGCCACTGAATCCACACTCTCTCCTTCCGCTAAGAATTCAGGAAGCTCCCACTCACTACCTTTAGTGTTTCTTCCCTTAAATAGCAGAATGTAGGAGCCTAAGGGAAGCAGAATCACCCAATAGGAAGAAAAAAAAGAAAGGACTCATAAAGGAAAGATCTAGAGCTTCATGGTGAAATTAAACTGATATACTGGTTTGAATGGTCATTTTAATAAGCTTAATGAATTTGCCACTCCAAAAACAATCCGTAGTGTTAATCTTTATCGCCTGAAACACAAAGTAAAAAAATATATATTGTGGGAACTTGAAGGGTGAAAGGAGACCCTTGTGGGGAAAGTGTCTTTCATCAATGATACATGCCCTCTCTCGATCATAGGGATTCCCTATTTAACCTCTACATAAAGTTGACCTTACCATATGAAGAGTATTAATAGATATATAAACCCATTATTCTATAGCTCATGCTAAAAATTTAAATGTATAATTATAAAGTTATACAATGTGAGTCTGATGGGAATTTAAAAGTTTAATATTATAGTCATAATTTCTTGAGTCTAACACCTGTGACTAATTTGTCTTCAACAGCAGCACTGGCCTGGTACACAACAGATATGCAAGAGCAGTTCCTTAGCTGAATGATCCAGCAGAGGAAAAGCCAAAGCACACCTCGGTGTCTTGGGACCCTCAGTCTCCTCCCTTGAGCTAGGTGTTACCCGGAAATCCAGTGACCTCGACATAAACAATTGTGCATAATCAATTGCAAGCCGTAGCCTGTTCTGGATAGGAAATTAGACCCATTCCAAAGTCAATGGAGGAAAACCAGACACTCCAAGCAAGATGACCATGGGACTGCATGGAGCCTTCTCTAATTAGGTGAGTGTTAACTATTTAGAGATATTGGGCAAACAATTGGAAATATGAGCTCCCTTAGAACTCAGAAAAGATACCAGCAGATTATGTACCTACTTTGGGGCACCATATGCAAAGTGATATAAGCATAAAGCCTGGAGACAGATAAAATGACACAGGCAGGCCTTGGGCATAGAGGAAGAAGAGCTTAAAAAGACAAAGCAGTGGTAGGAGGAAGAGACCAGAGTAGGCACTTCAGTGGAAAGAGTTTCAAAAAGGGGTAAAGGAGCAGTTACATAAAACACAGCTGAAAAGTCAAGGACAATGAATACTCACAAGGAATGGCAGGATTTATAATATGGAGAATCTCAGGAAGTATCCAGAACTGAATTTGAAATCAAAAGACTTGGGCTCAAGACGTACATAAAGTAATTTCTCTCTACTTCATGCTTTCTGCTTACTTCTTATTCCTGCTTCCCTCATCCTGTTAGTAAACATGCCATTTGTTGTGTCCTCTTTGGCTCTTCTTTCCGGCATGACCTTTCAATTCCTGCCCCTTCTTTATTTTTTAAGTTTATTTTACTCCTTTAAGAGAGACAGAGACAGCATACGCCATGGAGGGACAGAGAGAGAGGGAGAGAGAAAGAATCCCAAGCACACTCCACAATACCAGTGCAGAGCCCGACAGGGAACTCAAACTCATGAACCATGAGATCATGACCTGAGTCGAAACCAAGAGTCAGATGCTTAACCGACTGAGCCACCCAGGTGACCCCGTTAGCATGTATTTAAAAGGGATTACAGACATACGAAAAAAGATTGACCTGTCAAGTGTAAGTAGCATCTGACTTTTGCAGTGAAGATTCCACAAAACTCAGAGAGCATGATTTTGTAATAGGCTTCATTAGCATGTTTGTTTGTTTTTTTTTTCCTAGCAATTCTTTAGCAAGTACTGAAGAAGAGAACATACAGGTTAGAATGGCATGTTTATGAACTCGTATGCTGCCCTCCCCAGAAACTCAAGCATTCTAGAGAAGATATTATCCACTGGACTAAGTTTAAACCACTTAGACTGTAATTCAAAACCCTACATGATCTGATACCAGCCTATTTCCCCAGCATTCTCTCTCTCTCTAAGCATTCAGTCAATAATCCAACAAACATTTATCAAGCACTTACTCTATTTCGGGCATTGTGTCAATTGTTACACCAAGCAGCCACAAGCCAGTCCTTTTCCATTTAAACATTACCACTCCCACTCCTTTGCTGACCGGGCTCCCCTCATCGAGAGTGCCTTTGCCCTTCTCTGCACATATTGAAATCCTTCCATCAGAGGCAGCGTGCTCGGCAGACAGGAGCAGGGGCTTTGCAGTCTGCATGTGATTTAAATCCAGCTCCACCACTAGCTATAGCTGTGCGACTTTGGGCAAGTTTCTTAGGCTCTTTATGCCCGTTTCCTCCTCCTTCTGTGTTACCGTGTTAATATGATGAGCAAACATGTAAAAAACGCCTAGAATAAGATGTAAAGGTATTTAGAACCATACCGGAAATCTGGTAAGTGTCCAATAAATGTTAAAAAGTGGTAGTGGTGGTAATCATAGTATTATTGGGCATTAGCCCAGAGGAAGATGTGCCTCCTTCATAATGCTTTCCACGATAATCCCAGCTCACGATCCAGACTCACACGGTTCTTATGATATATAGTCTGGCATATGTCTTATATTTTTAAATAGATTAAATTCCCTTTGGATGCAGACTGTTCTACATTTTTTTTAATGTTTATGTATTTTTGAGAGAGAAAGAAAGAGCAGGAAAGGAGCAGAGAGGGGGGCGGACAGAGGATCCCAAGCAGGCTCCATCCTGACAGCACAGAGCCCGATGTGGGGCTCAAACTCACAAACCATGAGATCATGACCTGAGCTGAAGTTGGACCCTTAACCGACTGAGCCACCTAGGTGCCCCTGTTATATATTTTTATATTTCCCCAACACTCACAAGGACACCCACCACAGTGCCTATTGGTAATAGTAAGGGATACA